ACTAAGTAACAACACTAAAACATATAAAAGGATAAAACTCACTGGTGAAGGTAAATATATAGTCAAATTCACAAATTCACATAAATAATGTAATGGTGGTATGTAAATCACTTTTATCTTCAGTATAAAAGTTAAAAAATAATAATATTAAAAATAACTATTGCTGGGGCCGGCCCAGTGGCATAGTGGTTAAGTTCGCACACTCCACTTTGGCAGCCCGAGGTTCGCAGGCTCAGATCCTGGGTGCAGACTGATGCACTGCTCATCAAGCCATGTGGTGGCAGCATCCCATATATACAAAATAGAGGAAGATGGGCACAGATGTTACCTTGGGGCTAATCTTCCTCAGCAAAAGAGGAAGACTGGCAAACAGATGTTAGTGCAGGGCCAATCTTCCTCACACACACAAAAAAAACTATTGCTACAATAATTTGTTAATGGATGCACAATATAAAAAGATGTAAAGTATGACATCAATAGCATATAATGTGGGGAGAGGAGGAGGGTGAAAGTGTAGAGTTTCTGTATGCAATTAAAGACTATGCAATTAAAGATAAGTTATCAGTTTAAAATAAACTATTTTATACATATATAAGATGTTTTATGAAAGCCTCATGGCAACCACAAAGAAAAAACATAGTAGACACACAAAAGATAAAGAGGAAGGAATTAAAGTATACCGCTACAAAAAATAAATCACAAAGGAAGACAGCAAGAGGGGAAGAAATGAACAAAGGAGCTAAAAAACATCATAAAACAATTAACAAAATGGTAACAGTAAGTCCTTTCCTATCAATAACTACTTTAAACATAAACACACTGAATTCTCCAATCAAAAGACACAAAATTGCTGAGTGGATAAAAAAGAGATCCAACAATATCCTGCCTACAAGAGACTCACTTTAGCTTTGAAGACACACATAGGGTGAAAGTGAAGGGATGGACAAAGATATTCCACACAAATCATAACCAAAAGATAGTAGAAGTGGCTATACTTATATCAGATAAAATAGACTTTCATTAAAAAACAGTCACAAGTGACAAAGAAGGTGACTGTATAGGGATAAAAGTCAATTCATCAAAAGGATATAAAAATTATAAATATTTATACACCCAATAAAGGAGCACCTAAATATATAAAGCAAATATTAACATACCTGAATGGAGAAATAAATAGCAATACAATAATAGCAGAGAACTTCAATACTTCACTTTCAACACTGGATAGATCATCCAGACAGCAAAGCTGGCAATCTGGGCAGTGTGGGTTTGATCAGCACTGCAGTTACTTTCCATATTTCTTGGCTCAAAGAGGGGTGTCTAATATGCTAGTTCACAGTTTTTCAAGTGGCAGACCAAGAAGCTAGACGAAGAATTAGGACTCAGTAAAAATATAATAGTTCATCAAGGAGATGATGGCCAGAGCTACAAGATGGCCTTGAGTTTGCCCACTGAGTGGAGTGATCATGTCTATGTTTGGGTCTGTGTAACTGGTGCTGAGGTCGAACAGTGGTGGCAACCCAGTGGACTACCTTAGGTTTCAACTTCGCTGAACCATCCGTAACCCAAGCCCAGGCATTCAGGGCAACCTCTGTGAGTATAGGGCTCCAGTGAGCCAGTGGGTTTGCTTTAGCTGCTAGACTGGAGATCAAGTTTCCCCCAAAGTGACAGCTGTCACTTTTCATGTAAAGCCAAGATGTTGCTGGGGCCAGCTGCCTGCATTCTTAAATATTGCATTTCCATTTGACAAGCAAGGCCTGTTGGGTCCTTCCCACCTTGTTAGTTGTAGAGTCTGAGTTGACCCACCCCAAAATGGGAATGGCAGAGTCCCAAGGCCTACCTGGGTGAGTTCAACAGCAGCAGGCAAAAAGCTGCTTTTCAAAAGGGGTAAACCTAGTAGCCACATCAGGGAGGTGATGAGTCCAAAACCCCAAGGGGTGCCTCTGGATGGAGGCCGCCTCCCTCTGTGAGAGGCTCCAGTCAGCAAAATCATCAGTCACACTGACCATAGCTCAAAGGGGTCACACAGGTCATGGAGCCACAAAGGAGCATGTCACAGTGCCCAAGAGCTCTCAATGCAGTTGGTTGGTCTGGGCCCTCCTCCTCAAAGGCTGCTCACTTGCAGGTTAGCAGATATAAAAGACCAAAGAGAAAGCCAATGTGTAGCCCATACTGTCTTCAAAACTCAGAGTCCATACCTTTTTGGTACTGGGGGTTGAAAAGACAGCAGTTTTCCCTTGAGTGCTGGAGGCACTGAGCACTGTGAATCTGCCTACATAGTTCTCAGAAACTTTACCTGGGAGGCAGCCTCCTGGATGTAGCTGGGGTGTATCAGCCACCTCTGCTGGCAGAGGTGTGATAGCTCTGCATCAGGGCCATTGAGACTGAGGTTTATGACTTGCCCACCAACATGACACCATCTATACAGTGGAAGTTTTTGCCATCAGAGGGCAGAGACACTTGTACTAAATCCTCACCATTCCAATGGGCAGTGGGAAGGATTTGGTGTCTATAGCACTTTTCTACATGTATCTCTTCCCAATTGGGAGAATCTCCTCCAACACTCATGGTTTGGGGATGTGCAAGCATACACACATTAATTCTTCATACAAATTCAGATTTAGAAGAAACAACAACACGTCACTGAACTGGTCTGACGGGTCCCAACCACAATATATTAGTTTCTCTTTCCCACCTGCAATCAGGAAATACAGAATCTACAAAGAAAAAAATAGAAATTATCTGTAAACCTACAGATGGGAGATAGCCACTATTAATACTTTCATTGACTTGTTTCATGGAGTATGTGTATGTTCACATCTAATAATTGAGGTCATATTACGCTCAGCTTATTGCATATTATAAAAAGATTTTCCCACATCATCATCAAATTTCCATTATTATTACATATGAATGTACCACAGTGTTTATCTGTGTACAGTGTAATCTGTCATTAAATTGCATGTTTAGGTTATTTTCAAAATTTTTGCTATTATCAATAATGCTGCAATAAATAGTGTAGAATCTTTTAATGCTTTCTTTCATAGATGGGGTGAGGCATAAATCTAATTTGCTATTTTTGTTATTATTTTCCCCAAAAAAGCTTTTTTCATAACATTCATTTTCTATTTGTTTTTGAAACTTCTGATAATGTACAAAACTCTTTTACACACACAGACTTGTGTATCTGTCTGTATCTATGCCATCTGCCTTCTGAAGTGCACCTGAAATCAAGTTCTATGCAAGACCATTAACAAGGGTTTGCTGGATCAGAATGAAAACGTCCTGCAGTTCAGACACTCAGTGACTCAGTACACTAAATAATTTTCGACTTTCCCTGAAGGATGTACCAAAATCCTGAGTAGTTTCCCATATACCACTGGCCTAATATTGCTTCCCTCATTTATCCTCAAGAACAGCTCTAACCGTGGGACAGACCCATCCCTTCAAACCTAGAGGTTACCATGCTACACTTTGCATATTTACCCATCATGTGGAGTTCAGAGATGTTCACGGTCATTATTCCAACCCAGAAGAAATCCAAGAAAAACATTTCCCTTTACTCCAAAGGGACATGAATTACAACCTCTCCTTCTTATATCTGAACCCAAAAGTGGGTTGCCTCTTACCTACTCCAAGCCTAGTTCTCCATGTAATAGTGTCAATCCTGACAACTCAGTATGTGACCCACATGATATTCCACAGCACTGGCAAATTCCGCTCCAGAGGAAACTGTCATAATTTTGGAGTCAGGGTTACCAAAGTCCACCAATACAAAGCAGCCTGAGCTGTTTTGTAATCAGATATAGAAAAATCAAGATAAAAATCAAAAATAATATATTCCATAGACACGTGGGGGGAAAAGGTAATTTCTCTACTTGAAGGGATGCACCTCCATCTAGTCATTGACATGTTTCATAATGTCTGAATACTTATACACAGTAAGGACAAAGAAGAAGTCATGAAGTTCAATTGTGGAATGTTAAAGTCTGCAACTACAACTGTGGCTCTGCCATTTTTTTCCACATTCTAAGAGCTTCTGGGTTTATATGATACTGTTTTATGATAAATAAGATAAATATTGTTACATATCTTCCTTATAGATAGCTTTGATGAATATAAGATTTTAACATTAATAATAATAAAAGTGGCTAATTCTTACTGAGAACTTATTATGTACCTACTGGCACTATTCTAATCACTGTACTTGGATTAACTCATTTAATTCTCACATCAACCTCATGAGAAAGGAATATGATTATCATCCCAATTTTACAGATTAGAAAACCAATCAGTAAATGGAGCAGCAACAATTCAAACCAAGGCACTATGCATTCCTGCTTTTCCAAAAAACATAAAACAGCCCTTTGTCCCATTTAATGTTTTCTCCCTTGATATGATACTGGCACCCTGATGTCTTATTTTTCAAAAAAAAGCCTGTCTTATTTTTTCGTTGTTAATGTATCTAAGTGATTTTAAATTATGTAGCCCACATCACCTCCTCTGTAAAGCCTCACCTGTCTCCTCTCATGTGAAAGTCCTCTCTTCGATACTTTGAAATACACAATTTCATTACTATACAGCTACTCTAACTTTTCTTTACAGGTGTTATATTTCCTTTTATACTTTGAACCCACTGAGTTCAATAACAATGTTTAATTCATCTCTGTAACTACAAATAGTAGTTGAAAAATAACCAGTGCTCACAAAATGGCTTTGAATTAAATTATACAAACCAAAGAAAATCCTGAACATGAAATATCTATTGTGATCTCTGCTGGCTACTCATAACAGTATTATACAGGTGTACTTATATTTTTATACTACCCACTTTTAATTAGGTTTATCATAATTCCCAGTATTATGGTAATCTTGATTTTGCTTACTCCATTAGCTCCTCTGGTAAACTACTCTATTTTAGATAAGTACATTAGTTAGGACTCTATGTAGATTCCATTCGTTTCAGGAAACCCAAGTGAAATTAATGGCTCTTCTCTCACCGTTTGCCTCGTGGATAATGCCGCACATATTCTCCAACGTCATGAGCAGCAACGGCTAAGACTTGTGGATCATCTGACACCTCCAGAAGTTTTGTCAAAATTCTGAAATAAATTTAATCCAAAGAGAGATTCATTTCTAATTCTTCTACAGGGTACAACAGAGCACAGGTATAAGGCAGGTATCTTCCTGAAAATAGACGTTTATAATCATATTTTCTACAGACTTCACTATTATGCATAATACATTACACATCAGCAGTTTTCAAACCTTTATACATATATAACAGGTTACTTTCAGATTCTCAACATATACCACACACAATTCCCAAAATACCAGGGACTCTCTCTCCTTCCCTCTCAAGAAAGACAACTAGAATGTGAGTAAATGTTATTTTAATATACAACTACCAGAGGATCTTTGCTAATGATATTTTGAAAATAAATCATTTGTAAGCCTTTTGTTAGTATTAGGAACAAATTACTTTCAGCTGTGATCAAGATGGAGCCTGAGCACTGAGCACATACATCTCTCCTCTCTCTTGCTCCAACTCGCACAAAAGACTTTATAAATATAACTAAATCCACAACAGCAAGTGAATGTTTCTGAGAAGATGGCAGCCCAAATTCACAATCCGGACTCCCCTGCCCTCCTAATATCTTTTCCAGAGCAACATACAAGCTGAGTGAAACTACTGCTGGAGTCTGATGGGTATTTCTGGGAAGAGGAGCCAACCACCAACAGCAGTGAAGGCTCCCTTCTGCTGGGAGCCTGGAGCCATGACCACAGACTTCTGCCTCCTCAAGGACCTCCAGGGAGGGGGCGCGTCTTACAAAGGGATGCATGTATCCTGGGGAGTGAAGGGAAAGGGGGACTACACTGCTCAGAATCCAATCAGCTGGGAAAGGACTGCCTTCCTTATGAGTGCAAATGGAGATCATTCACGGAATACATAATCCCTATGTTATTTAAACTGCTCAAGGGCACAGAAACAGATGGAAAACTTCTCAACTCATTCTACAAGCAGAGCCTAACTGTGAGAACCAATTAGAATGAGTAGTTTTTAAAGATGGGTAGGTACAAAATATAAATATAAATATATTTTATATAAAATATAAAAAAATTGCTTTCTAATATGCCAGCAACAGCCACTCCCTTAGACATAGATATATGAACTCCTTAAAGAATTAGCTAACTGAACCCAGTAGAATACTGAGAAAATATGTTTTATTCAGTTCTCAGCTCAAATGCCACCTATTGCTTAAAAGCCTCCGATCACCCTAAGGCAGTACCCTCCCTCATCATTCTCTATCCCCTCCTCCTGATTTTTCTTCACAGTACTAATCACCACCAGCTATTATATTATATATTTACTTGACTATTTGCTTAGTCTTTCTCTCCCAAATACAGTCATGCATCGTTTAACAACAGGGATACATTCTGAAAAATGCATCACTAGGCGATTCTGTCATTGTGTGAACATGGTAGAGTGTACTTACACAAATCTAGGTGGTATAACCTACTACACATCCAGGCTATATGGTACCAATCTTATGGGACCCCCATCGTATATGCGTTCTGCTGCTGACCAAAACATCATTATGTGGCGCAGGACTGTACAATGTAAGCTTAATGAGAATAAGAACTTTGTCATATTTGCCATTGTATCTGCAACACCTAGAACAGTACCGACCATACAACAGATGCTCAATAAACACTTCTTGAAAGAAATGCATAAAGTATAAAACGGTGATGCCAATTGGGAAAAACAATTTTGACAGCTCCTAATGGAATTTAAAATACACAGACCTTTTGACCCAGCAATTCTATTTCTAGGACTTTATCCTACAGAAATATTTTCACATTTCCACAAAGATGTCTGTGTACACTATCTTAAAAAATGACTAAGAGAAAATGCCAGAGGGTGGAGGCCACATGGAAGTGTCAGGCTTTTCCCTCCATTTCTTCTTCCATGCTGGCAGTGCCTGCTTTTTCCTTTGCAACAACAATAACTTTGTGTACAAAGCAATTTCACATCCACCATTTTATCTAAGCTCTAATACTAGGATTATTAGTTCTCCCTATTTCACAGAGAGGTAAACTGAGGCTCAGTGAAATACAGTAGCCAAACACACACACAAAAAAAGACTAAGTCATTTTAAGAGACCCAAAGCCATAGTAAGTGAAAAAGACAAGTCACAGACTAACATTTAGTATGTGACATGTGTATGTGGTGATATGTATAAATGTATAAATAACTCTATACAGTCATCTGCTGCATGACGATGTTCCACTCAACAATAGACCGCATTTATGACGGTGGTCCCATAAGATTACTACCATACAGCCTACGTATGCAGTAGGCTATACCATCTAGGTTTGTGTAAGTACAGTCTATGATGTTTGCACAACAACAAAATTGCCTAACAACGCATTTCTTAGAACCTATCTCCGTTGGTAAACAACACATTAACTGTATAAAGATGCAGGTACAGACATGTCTATGAACAAAAGAACACCGGAGACTGTACCACCTGTTGACTCTGGTTACTGCTGGGGAAGAGTCTGAGGTAGAATAGCAGTGAAGAAACCTTTTCACTTTAGTTTTGTATGCCTTTAAGAGTGCTTGAATGACTTGGCCCAGGCTGTTTGATATAACTTAGAATACAACGATTTACCAATATACACACATCCGTTAAAAAAAAAAAGTTACCTAATTTTACCAAGATGCTCAAGATGTTACTATCCCTTAATACAGTTAATTTAAAATTAAACTTAACTTGAAAATCTAAGTTTAAAATATTTAAGAGAAAAAAGTTTTGAAATCACTTGGTTGTCTGCTTACATACGAACTATTCACTTACAAAATATAAATCTTATTTCTTAAAATCTTTACTAGAAAACAACTTGAATCACAACTATCTTTGCTCATATCATTTGCATTAAAGTGAATACTTAAAAGTAGTAAAACTCTATTTTGTTCAAAATCTTATGAATCTATGAAGCTTGCTTACTTTAGTTTCTAGAGTGCACTCATTTGGTAAAGTCCCCTAAGACTGTGGTTCTAGGTTTCTCTACTATCTTTTTCTATCATCATCTCAGCCTGTCAAATAGCTAACCTCTATAAACAAGAGGAAGCACCAATAAAGAACTCTGTTGTCAATCAAGGAATCATTTCATTATGAAGTAATTACACACCTTCAATCTTTCAGACTAACTGGGAAATCTGCATTTCCAAATAACAGATGAGACAGGAAATGAGCATTTATTATACACTTGCATGTTCCAAACCCTGTGTAAATATATTCCTCACATCAACTCATAAATGAGGAAATAAGACCCAGAAAAGTTATGTAATTGGCCTAAGGACACAGCAAATGTTGAAACTGAGATTTGAATGATTATCTGCTGACTCCAGCCCACACAAGCACAACTGCACCCTGACGGCAGTTCATTCAAGCACACGAAAACCCACTAAGAAGAACCACATCATCTGTTCAACTTCCCATACATTCTCATTTTTAACATTTCAGACTACAGGCATACTTCGGAGACACTGCAGATTTGGTTCCAGACCACCGCAATCAAGGGACTATCGCGATAAAGTAAGTGACACAAATCTGGTTTCTTGGTGCATATAAGTTATGTTAACACTATACTGTAGTCTATTAAGTGTGCAATAGCATTACTTCTAAAAAAACAATGCACATACCCTAATTTAAAAATACTCTACTGTTTTCATATTCTTTGGATAAATACTCAGAAGTGGAATAGCTGAATCATATGGTAGTTCTATTTCTAATTTTTTGAAGAATCTCCATACTGTTTTCCATAGTGGCTGGGCCAATTTACATTCCCACCAACAGTACACTCGGGTTCTCTTTTCTCCACATCCTCGCCAACACTTGTTATTTCTTGTTAGATATATGCACCCCTATGTTCACTACAACATTATTACAATAGCCAAGTACCCACCGAAAGATGATGGATAAAGAAGATGTGGTATATATATATACAATGGACTACTACTCAATCATAAAAAATATGAAGTCTTGCCATTTGCATCAATATGGATGGACCTTGACGGTATTAATGCTAAGTGAAATAAGTCAGATCGAGAAAGACAAATACTGCATGATTTCACTCATATGTGGGGAAAAAAAAAACAGAACAACAAACACATAGATACAGAGAACAGATTGGTGGTTACCAGAGGGGAAGAGGAGAGGGGGGAAAGTGAAAGGGGTAAAGGGGGACATTTGCATGCTGATGAATAGAAACTAGACTTCTGGTAGTCAACACGATGTAGTCTATATGAAAAATGACGTACACCTGAAATTAAAATAAAACACTTTATTGCTAAAAAATGCTAACCATCATCTGAGCCTTCAGTGGGTCATAATCTTTTTGCTGGTGGAGAGTCTTGCCTCTGTGTTGACGGCTGCTAACTGATCAAGGTGGTGGCTGCTGAAGGCTGGGGTGGCTGTGGCAATGTCTTAAAATAAGACAACACAGAAGTCTGCCACAGCAACCGACTCTTCCTTTCACTAGGCCATTGTAGGGTAAGTAACTGGCCTAATTTCAATTTTGTTGTGTCTCAGGGAGTAGAGAGGCCAAGGAAGGGAGAGAAAGGGAGGAACAGCTGGTCGGTGGAACAGTCAGAACACACACAACATTTATCAATTAAGTTTGCCATCTTATATGGGCACACATCATGGCGCCTTAAAACAATTACAATAGTAACATCAAAGATCACTATCACAGATCACCATAAGAAATATAATAATAATAAAGGAGTGTGAAGCCTTACAAGAACTATCAAAATGTGACACAGAGACAAGAAGTGAACAAATGCTGCGGGAGAAATGGCGCCAAAAGACTTGCTCAATGTGGGGCTGCTGCAAACCTTCCATCTGTAAAAAACACAACACCTGCAAGGCACAATAAAACGAAGTACGCCTGTATGTTCTTTTCAAAAGGCCAACTTGCAAATTATTCTAAAATTAACTTTAATTTAATCCAACTGAAACATTTTAATAATTTCAAGATTAAATTACTTTGATGTTATTTTTATTATTTTGAAATTTTCTTAAGAAATTATTTT